AGGTGTAGCTCTGCCAATCTTGGTGATAGGTTGGCTGCTAACACAGAATATCGCAAGAAATGCGCCGACATGGTTTCATTTTTATTTCTGTCGTACCTGTCCTGATATAGTGATATACGCACTTGAGACTGTACTTGCGGATTCCATAATAGCTCCGTAATGGATTGCTTAAAGTGGTTATAGTCAGCCAAGTCCTTGTATACTGCCGTAAACCATTGTTTTGCATAGTTATCCGTAACAGCCTTGACTGCTATAGGCAATTTCAAACGTTCTGGTACCCCCTTCAACGAATAGTAGTCATCAAGTTCCGCGAGAAACTGCAAAATATTCTGCCGATTACTGTCATGAAATTTTGGTAGAACTAGATCGTTTAAGACACTACTGGTTAGTCCAGCCAACTCATGGGTGCGCGTCAGGTCACCCCCACTACTACATGTAAATGGCACAGTAGGTCCCTCATTTGGGCACCGCTGAACCTCGCACACTCTCTCACGCCCTCCCGCTTCGTGTCCAGAGCCAAGCGTTTGTAACGGGGTTGGCACACCTCGTTCCGTGTACCACTCCGAGCTAATAAGAGATGGGTGCCCGTTGCCAGATCGACTATGACACACTGAAGTTACTTGTTCCTGAATTTTGTCTATCCTGCTCGAAATTTCTCCTAATTTCAAAACGCTGTCCCTGCTAGCAGCCTTCACTTGCTCTTGAACCAGGTTCATATTTTCCTCCGTCACTCCCCACTTAAAACTCGAAATTTCCTTATAAATATTTCTCATATTTTTCTTCACTTCAGCCCTGAGTTAGGTTCCTAGCCTTTCGTGGCCCGCCTTGGCTTCAGACACTTGCATTTTCAATTTTGCATTCATACTTTCATTCGCTTGGTCTATTTTTTTATTCACACTTCTAATTTGTTGCTGAGTATCCTCCTCCAGACAGATAACAGCTTGCTTTAATTCATTATTTTCATATGTAATTCTCTTATTAATACTTTCATTTATTTTATTTATCTCGGCCCTGAATTTTTCAGATAACACTTCTGAATTTCTGAAAATACTATCCTGCAGTGTCTCTAAAGTTTCCTTCCTAATCCTTTCATTTTCCTCTTTGTCTCTTTTTCTATTTTCCTGCAAAATCTGTAAAGTTTCCTCCCTGAACCTTTGATTTTCCTTTCTGTTCTCCTGCAAAGCCTGCAATATCATGTTTAATAGATCTGTTTGTTCAACTCTATCTGCTGCTCCCCCCTTTTTGTTACTCTATTCAACTGTACCTACAGTTCTTAAATTTTCTCCCCCTGTGTGTTACGCTCTAATATTTCCTCGGCCTCGACTACTGGATGGTCCACCACTTGTTCGTCTTCAGTAGCCTGTCCCCACGGCCAATCTCCTAGCAAGTCCTCCTCGGTTTTCTCCGCACAATGCCTTCTTACTTCGAAGCCCCCTGAAAGCCATATTGTCTTTCACCCACCTGAATGTCTGTAGGCTTGCCTGAACAGGGATGTCGTCGAAGGTTGTAGCTCTCTGTTCGACGTCGATCGTTGTCCCTCAGCCTTGCTGCGAACGGCGTGGAGACTTGTTTACAGCTCGTCCTCCTGACCACCGCTTCTTCGTCGTGGCTGCGTCGTGCCTTTCTTCCTTGGAAGCCCCACTTCTACGTCGTCGTGCCCCACGTTGGGCGCCAAATCGCTGTAACCGCCCCTTTCCTTCCACCACACGTCACACTGCTTGTTTAGTATAGTCGTAGCCTGGTTTGCTCATATGGTTACAGCTTCTTGACGTGGGATGTGTAAAGATACAGAAAGGGATTGTTGATGATGGTGTGAGGTTGTCGGTGAGCACGAGTTTCCGACTCCCCGGGAATACACGGGAATTAGAAGGTGGAGCAGGTTTCTGCACAAATGGATAACAAAGTTTTTCTGTGTTGCACTGATGGACGACACTTTATTGTTCCTTAATACACGGAGGAACATATATATCTTAAGCACTATTCATGGAGGCAGCTGGATGGCTCGGGTGTTCCTTTGTTCTTTCCTATGTTTGCTAAAGAAAAACACCCCCGCTCAACCGAAGGACCAAAACTTTAGAGAGCGCCCCGCAACCACGATCGCGCTTAAATACCCCTGCATCACGTTATTTAAGCTGTGTTCAAATTCAATTGGTCCATCGCAAGAAGGCAATGGTCGTAATGCAATCATCACCCTGCACCTGGGATGGCTTAAGTATTTTTGCTTGTTTGTCTATGTTTGGCTTTTTTCTACGCCAGGCTTCCTTGGGACAGAAAGAATGTCGAGGAGGGAGACCCGCAAGTGGCCATGTTGGCCACATTCCTTCAACTCAATGTGTTTAACAAAGCCAAAATTAAGCATTGAGTCTAATTTAGGTGAAGTAAGGCGTTTCAAAAATCATGTAATTACACCTTCTTCGTTTTTCTTATAAGCCAGATCAACATGCCGAAGCCTGGTTTACATTTCTTCTCAAGGCTCAGTCCGTTCGGGAATTGAACCATAGACCTGGACTGGCACAATTCTTCCTTTGAAATTTGCTTTCTAGCATTTCATCACACTGCAGATTAATCACTTCCAATTAAAGGTTAGGTGGAAGCTTCTTAATTGTACAGTCAAATGGATTTTAAAATATGGAAATGTCTTCTGCACTTGCATCAAGATCCGAAAAACGCTCCTGGAGCTGTAGTTTGAGTTCAGAAAATATATCCGCTGCAAATTTGTGTGTGAATTGAGATTTCACTTCGTCTTTTAATTTCTGACAGCATGGGAAATGCACAAAGTAGTTTGTAATTTCAAATTTAAATATGTTAAATCCGTTCTTAGTTGTTGTTATGTATTTTAGTTAACAAAAATGGCCAATTATTATTGCAGAATAACTGATTTTATAATAAAAATAATACAGTAGTAACTGAAAGCATTTCTAGATGAATATAAATTCTTGTCTTATTTTTAAGTTCCTCCTTTTTTTTTAATGAATCCTAGAAATGTTTACAGTATTTCAAAATTGACACAATCTCTCCACTGCCTCAAAACAGCTGCCCACATAGACACAGTTGTTAACCACTGGTCAGGACATCTGTTAAGTGAAATATAAGATGAGAATATTCTGATGACAATCTATGTTAGGAACAAAGAATATCACACGAACAATTCTAGTTCTATAAATCTCCTAGTACACAACATTGTAGAGAACACAGTAACTAGTGTTGATACTTTGCCCTTTTTATATTGTGTGTATAAAAATCTAACACTTGAAAAGATCACTGACATAGAAAAATGTTGCTTTCAGAAAGCTAGCCTATAAAAAACAGTTGCTTATACCAACTAATATGTAAAGAATGCATAAGGAATATTACAGCAGCTCTACTGACTTAGGCAGAGTGACTGACTGTCCCCACCCCATCTAGTAATGATATTGGATTTTGTGTGGCATCTTCTGGAAAATTCTCAACTAATCCCCAAAACGCATGCAACAAAATTATATTTACTCTGTCATTTTAAATCATACCTTAAGCTGTCTCTCTGCAATATTATTTATAATTGAAAAGAATATTAAATGTATTTACATTAGCTGTTGTCATTAGATTTATATTTGGAAAAATATTTTGATATTATTTATGTATTTACCTTAAAAAGTGAATGTATAATGTAAACGTTTCTGTTACCACTGACAAAAACTGTAGAATTCTTTGTTCCTGCAATTCACATACACAAGCAAATAATTAATCAAAGTTTCTTCTCAATAAATCAGTTTACAATTTGAGGGATATTTTCACTTGGTACAGTTTCTAAAACATAGAAATGCAGTCTTATAACAGAGGCCTCACAACAGTATATGCTTATTGCTTCTCCTCCAGATGGGACAAATGGGATAATGCTGGATTTGGTTTACCTCATTCCCTTCCTTTTCCACTTACACACCTGTATTCCACTACAAGGCAAATTTGTGGACAAATAGTCTCCTGAAGTGCAAGTCATTAATTTTGTTTCATATATTTTCTGTATTAAAAATTAATTTATGACAACTAAATATATAAAAGTCTTTTTGTTCACTTGAAGTTTTGTGACTTATGCCAGCCTTCTTGCCCATCCTGTTAGATGTATCAACATTGATCAGTATAGCTCATAGCTCATGTGTTGTATTGTGCACTGCTTCAGTTTTCAGAGAATTATTCACAACAACAGCTGTATTTGCCACTCTTGCCTTTTTAACACACTGCTGTGATATTCCCATGATCTTTCAATTTCTTTCTGTTTTAGGCCCATGAAATAACAATTATGGGGCATTCCTTCTGTTAGGCCAAACACTAACAATAAGCAATATTTCTGTTGCAGAGGTCATCAACATTAGTACACCTCAAAGAATTACAAAATTTTGCTATATAAACTTCTCAACTTCTACAGATGATCATGCTTCTGATTTTTTCTGAAGGCGGGGAGAGGGGTGGTGGATGGTTGTATATTCATCTTACTATAAAATATTAACAAAGAGGTTTCAAATAATTATTTTAGATAAGAAAAATGATAGAACTCTTCATCATGCACCAATAGGTCTTTCTGCACCACTTGTAGAGAGTAGGTGCATTGAAATATTTTGTCCTTACATGTGATTCTCTCTTCAATGGCAGTTTGCTAGTTACTAGCAGGAAGTAATACTGATGGTAGTACAGATTTGAACGCTCTAATAATAATGTGACAAGAATGTATGTGAGAATATATTCTGAGTATTTATTGGAATAAGACTAATCCTTGATATCAAGTGGTACATTTTCATCCAAGCCAATCCTTTTACCTGCCTATTACTGCTGCTACCCTTCACATAACATCATCTGGGACCTTCTGACAATTTTTGTTTAGAATCAGAAAGAACATATATTCCAGTTGGCTCCTCATCTATGAGCTACTCTCCTCATTTGTGGTCTATTTACAGTCCTCATGCTAAACTTTCTTCACACAAGCAGAGATGTTTCAAGGGACCTGCTATATGAATAATCCATTTTGTGATATAAATGAGAAAATTAATGTAAATAGGCATGTAGCGAGAAGCTTTACTTAACTTTACTTATTAATGTAAATACACAGTGGATATCTGACCAATAGAACAACCACTTATAAAGGTATGGTGAAATGAACCACTGTATCAAAGCAGGCACATATTAACATTCTAGTAAATTACATCAACTTTTTGACAATTTGTTGCATCAGTGAAATTCAAAATTATAGAAAAAATTACTAACACAAGTATTTAATTGCACATAATCCCTAAATAAAGCACATAAATGTGTATTTGTAACCGAACTCTAGAAATCACGTTATAATCAATCTGAAATAATTTCAAGAAATATATCAAAATATTTCAGGACCATTTGTCAGTATGAAATAAGTGGTTCAAATATGCCAAATCAGATCAACTTATTGAGACACTTTACAGCATTCAGCTCACTACTTATCTAAAAATTACTAAGTAAGTAATTTCCACTTACAAATCTTAACTGCTAGTTGATGTGCGAGGCTGAGTAAAAATTAGCATAATAGAAATTAAAATAGTCCTTTTGACATGGAAATTTATGAGGGTTATATGATCATCCTTCTTAACTACGCTTATATATTTTAGTGGATCAGACCCCAATATGACAATCACAAAGTCAAGTTACACGATGCTGTGCTGGCGAGCTAGTGATACAATTACCATGTCCTAAAAGACATTCTGGGGCCTTAAAGGATAATCAATTTCTGTCACTAAATGTTTAGATAAAAGGAATTTAATTTGCCTTCCACATATGAAATTTTATGTGGAAATGTATATAACCTTCCTTTGAATATATTATCATTAGCTGTTATAAATTAGTGGGCAGACTTACTAATTATCTGTCTCCCAACAAATAGGTATCAGATGTATCTTAAATACTATGTAGTGTACTGGCAACATTCACAGATCCATATTGTATCCATCTTCAAGGCCATCACCCAGAAATACAATTCATATTTCTCAATTTTATTTTTAATAATATACTCATATAATATAAAATATATGGGGAAAAAATAAGTTAGAAATTGTTTGAATAGCATAATAAATAGAGTTCTTTGATGTGTTATTGCCACTATATCTTCAATTTGTGAATGCTCTATTACATGAAGTATAATAGCTATGGAAGGCAGTTTGTTTCATCAGCCCACAATTGACATTTGTGAATAATTTCACTGCTATCAGAGTTTCCTGAAAGTCAAAGTCCACTGCATGAATGGTGCTTGACTGCCTCAATGATTACATTACCAAGAGGATTCTACTGGGATTCATTCTGGTTGTTATACTAGCAAATTTCATTCAGTCCCCTTATTTTTTAAAAATAATCTATTTCGTAATTTGTATTCATACCACTACTTCATATGGGTAATCTGCTGCATGATAGTCTGGAGTTCTATCAGGTTCTGGTACTTGTCTTTCTGTGAATCACAAGATCAACAAAACATATGTTTTAGTTACATCAATGAAAGTTCATGCTTGTCAACCAGGTCTGAATTTTACATTAAGAAAAATATTCTGCATATACACAGTGGGGATATATGCCAGCTGTGCCACTTTATGTGGTCATTTCATTGGTTGTCTCAAACGGCTGCAAGATATTAGCAGGGACTATAGGAAGTTGTTTAATTTTGTATTGCATAGTGTTATTCATTTATAACTCAGTGTTGTTCAAGATTCCATTTGAGTAAGTTATGGATAAGTTCACACAGAATCATAACATGGTTAGGAAAATTTAGAGTAAATGAAGAAGAAAATTTCCCAGGGTTTAGTTTCCCAAAACAAATATTATTTGTAAAAGTAAGAACATCTGTTGTGTTAACAGACACAAAACCAAAATAATATTGACAAGTACTAATAAAACAGTATTTGAATAAAAATGAAGCTCAGCTTGAACAGTTGATTGTCCCTTAAACACTTTGCATAAGAAACTATGGTATTAAAGGGGGCCATTTGAACTGCTACAAAACAACTGAAACTATAGACTTCCAAAACAATAACTCCATACTCATTATAACCATGTGATTCATCATTGACATCTTAAGCCAGTGGAGACATGTAAAAACTAGAGGCTATAAAATAATCCATGCATGGGGGAGATCAGAGGAATCATTGTTATTCAGGTTCCCCATATATCTAGATTATAACAGTATCTGTGTCAACAGGGACTATTTTCGGCATCTTCTGTAATGACATGAGCTAGATAATCTCTTAAATACCACTGCAATCTCACTGTTGCCGCAGGTAAAGGTGGCATACTATGCAGTATTTGAACATAGCAGAAAGGCCATATTCTGGCACAACTACCAAATATCCTCCCCATATTATTTTCTTAAGTATTATAAGAGTTAACAAGATTGGATAGGTGAACTCTGGAGAGCACAAGTGATTCTTGTTGTACATGGGGGCTGTGCTCCTGCAAAATGGGGAATGTATAAGAGTCACCAATCCAGTAATTGAGATGATACCAAAATGTCAGCATCAAGTATTAACAGAACAAAAATTATATAAATTTTGGAGCTCAGCTTCAAGGAACAATAGTGTCAAAGGGGCTATGGTGCCATTGTTACTTTGTTATATGCAGTGTATTTCTTTGATCAGCCTAAATAAGTTTTGATTGGATATTGATGCCACTGAAATGAAACTGTGGATAGCATGTAATGGAGCCACCTGTACGCAAAAGATCCATGGGTGTTCTCAGCACCATTTGTAGTGGGTGTGATATCTTACAGCAAATAATAGATGGCAGCATGAATTACAAATGCTGACAAATAACAACACATTCCATGTCACATGTGTGAACATCCTACATGTTTCTATTACCATATGTAGAAAATTAAGATGGGAAAGTATAGATTGTCTTCTTTCATTTCATAATGTCCTTACCAAATAGCATGAATATCTGTTCAGACACTCTGACAATATATCAGGTGAATCTTCAATGTGTTTTGAGTATATTTCATATTCTGCTGCCTCCTGTGCTGGTCTTCTTTCAAATGCCTGGTGTGAAAAACACAGAACTACCACAATGTATGTTGTGTATTAAATGACTAAGAGCCAGTTGCTGGTTTGTCTGTATAGAGCCTCATGTGAAAATATTGTAATGGAGCACAGACATGTTCAGGAAAAACATTTGACATAAGGCTTATGATGAAGGAAGAAAGAAGAAAGCAGGGTATACCTATTATTTTATGAATGAAAACTCATGTTTTGAAGCAAATTTGTAGCAATTGTTATGTGGGACTGCATAATATAAACAATTAAACAAATTCACATTCATCATATATGTGTATAGGACATCAAGGTGATGGCATTAGCATGGAGGATCATGGGTAATGATACCATCATAAATGATTATCCTAGAAATCTCATGAATTAGGTCACCTGTCACATGGGTACTGCAGACTACAGAAAATTAAAAAGTACAAGTTTGGCTGAGCCTCCAATGTCACAAACCTGATATCAAGTGTCATAAATGTGTTTAAACATTTTTCAAAACATTATGTGGCTGAATGAATATTTTGTATAAGCACTGATAGATGGCAAAGACTTGATAGAAGGACACAATATAACTGTATGGTTTCTTCACTTAAAAACTACAGGGTGATTCTAAAAGGACTTTACAACTTTGAGAGTGTATAGAAATTTAATCAGAAAGCTTACAGAATCGGTTGAGGTGTCATTTTGTAGCAAAGAAATCAAGTTTGACTCAAGTTGTGCTGTAGTACCGAATTCCGTCACCGCGACCGCAAGCAGCAGTGCATTTCAAAATAGCTACTTTCACAGGTGCGGAGCGCACTCGCTGTGTGCTGTGGTTTGAAGAAACGAAATATGCGACAATGGTTCAACGGAATTTTCGCACCCAGTATGGCAAGAATCCTCCCAGTAGACCTACAATTTATTCTTGGCACAAGAATTTTGTGGAGACTGGTTGTTCTGTTTGCCATGACAAATCTCCAGGTCGCCCGCGTGTTTCTGATACTTTCGGGGAACGAGTGAGGGAGAGCTTTTTCTGTGGTCCTGCGAAATCAAAGCGATGTGCGTCTCGTGAGACTGGCATTCCACAACCGACCGTTTGGCGCGTGTTACGAAAACGTTTGCACTTAAAACCATACACATTTACCATTGTGCAAGAAATTACTGACGAAGATAAAGTGGCTCGTCAGGAATTCTGTGCACAAATGTTGCATCGGATAGGGGAAGATGAAACTTTACTGGACTACATAATCTTCAGTGATGAATCGACATTTCATGTCAGTGGTAAGGTCAACACCTGCAACTGCAGGATTTGGGGCAGCGAAAATCCACGTGCATCTCTGGAACACGTTCGTGACAGCCCAAAGGTGAATGTGTTTTGTTGCCTTAGCAAAGTTAAAGTCTACGGCCCGTTCTTTTTCCATGAGAGAGCCATCAATGGTATCGTGTATCTGGATATGCTCGAAAACTTTTTCGTACCACAGTAGGACGAAGATGGCCAAGAAGGATGCAGTCACTTCCAGCAAGACGGCGCACTACCTCACAGAAGTCCGGGATTTCCTCAATAACCGTTTCCCAGGTCGGTGGATTGGTCGAACAGGGCCAATAGCATGACCACCTCGTTCTCCAGATTTGACACCTCTCGATTTTTTCTTATGGGATTTCATTAAAGATCGTGTGTTTGTTCCACCCTTACCTGCCAATCTCTCTGAGCTCAAAGCTCGAATCACCGCCGCAGTTGCAGTAGTGACACTGAATATGCTGTATCGTGTTTGGCAAGAAATTGATTTCAGGTGGGATGTCTGCCGTATCACCAATGGCAATCACATCGAACGAAATTGACTATTTGAGGTAAAACTTGATTTGTTTTGCTACAAAATGTCACCTCAACCGATTCTGTAAGCCTTCTGAATAAATTTCTATACACTTTCAAAGTTGTAAAGTCCTCTTAGAATCAACCTGTATATTAAAATGGAAATAGAAATGTTATATTACACAAAAATTTTACTAAATGTTCTGTTTATTTCTTTAGTTTGGTCTCTCTTAATAACTATGGTAGAATAACATTTGCATATGTTGATAAACAGCAAATTGAGAAGATACTTCACCATATAGAGGTGATATATATGGTCAATATATGTATGTGTATGTGAGTGTGAGTTTGGGTGTGTGTTATAGGCTTTGTGTACATATGCTTGTGCACACTTCTGTATGTGCTTGTGTGTGCTGGAAAGGAAGACCATCTGTAGTCACATGCTGTTATTCAGTACTACATAAAAACCGAAATGAAGAAGATGGGTCATACATTTTGCAAATAAATATCTAAATAATTTACAAATGCCAATGACCAAAATTCTCGAACACTTAGGAAATTTGAGGTTCCACTGCCATGTTAAGAACAAGAAACTTGGTGGAAGGCCACCTGTGAAAGTGAAATGGAATAAACCAGAGATGTTAAGTTAAACTGAATGCAGTGGAGAGCATTTTGATTGTGGAATTGAGAGATTTGACTCATATTTAGGTTAATTGTTAGATTTTAGATTCTTTCATCATAAACTCCTATTGTAATATTGATAAAGTCAACTGATATTTCTTACATTGATTTATACAATGTAGTACTACACTTACCAGGAACAGCATCTTCATAAATCAATTCAAAAGGCTCAGTCTGCTTTGGCTTCCTTTAAACATATAAAGAAATTTAGAAGAATTGTTCAGTTTCCTACCATCTTTTATAGAAAAACTCAAATTTCATACAAAGTGTACAAAAAGAAAATCACAAAATATTAATATTAATTAAAATAATAATATTCATGATTAGAAGAATGATTTATTTGGCTTATGGGTATTTAAATTCTAACATTGTTTGGTAGCCCACTTGAGCACAGAATTTATGATTAATTTGTTATTCAAAACAAATGTAATTTATTTAAGACATCTTCATCTTCATAAATAACAAATCCTTGTCAAGACTTTAGTTTAAATACTGCTCTGGAGATGTTAATGGCATTGAATAAAAAATCTTGTATTCCCGGTGTCAAATCAAGCCAAGGCTAGACTGAGCATTGGCATAAATTCAGATAAGCCAGGAAGTATAAAAAATTACTATTTTGTGCATTTATATGAAGGAGGAGCCATAATGCAGCCATAAATTCTTTCCACTAATAGGGTATTGGATGCTATTCTGTGGGGATCTTAAGACATGAGTTTAATATAAAACTGACCTTATAACAAAGTACACAGCTACTGGTATTATCAGCAACAGAAGCAATGCAGACCACTCAGCGCCAATGCCACCTTCCTTTTCAGACAGAGCCTGATCAGGATGCTTCAATTTTGCAAAACTGGACTCATATTCACCATCCTGCCAATTGAGTGCTACTAGAGTCAAATCGTATAATAAGCCAGGTTCTAGGGGTCGGTTCCAGTAGACATCACCAGAAGTACCAGAAATCATTTTCCTATTATCACCAACTTTAAATAGCTGCTCTTCATCTTGAGGCTGAAACATGCTATGAAAATTTCAGCAACAGATCTGGAATTATCACCAAAAGCAACGTGATTGGCAATGATATATCACCATCTATGAACTGCCTTTACTTTCTCATGGACATTGACATCTTCAGCAACACATTCGGTAAAGAAAGTCATTATAGCATTAATAAAGATTCATTGTATTTGAGAATTCTTGTGACATTTCATAAATGGTCAAATATTATACTTGTACAAATGAAACACTTTTAAGTTTTGATACTGAGGTTGACCATAATCTTAGGAGCCGTAAATGTTACAGGCAAGACCCACCCAATAGAATATTTTGAAAAGGCTCTCTTCTCTGCTGCAAGACCTCTAATCCTCCTATAGGTTCATAACCTTAATAAGACACACATGCTTTGAGTCAGAATCCTCACACATTCAACACCTCAATTTTGATGAGAAACTTTTATTATCAAAAAGCCAGAGATATTTCTTTGAACCACTGATATTCTTAATAGAATTCTGGTTGTTGATGAGCACATCATAGAACTTTTCACGACTAAAGTAAAAGTTAACTTGTATATCACATTATTCATGACAGAGAAAACAAGTTAAATGAGAATTGATGTTCCAGGTACATAACACTGTTTCAGTGTGTTTCAATGGAACATTTTAAATCATTTAATCAGCTTCCACTTTACTGAAATATGAACACATCTGTCAGGAACAGGAGTCTTTCTTTACCCCACTTTTCCAAGCACTGCACCATGAAATCCTTTGTATACAACCACTGTTCAGACAACTCGGTCTCCTTTGAACTTCAAATGATATGAACAGATTTCATGCTTCAAATGACAAGGTTCTAACTAGCAAATTTGTCAAATTTGAATATTCCTTAATATTGGCCTCAGAGTAGCATTTTCTATGTACAATGGTGTCCTCCATACTAATGCATTTTTATATTCAGTTTGCTATTACCACTATATTCATGTGCTCATCTCTTGTGCTGTATCCGTAATTGGCCTTCTGGCCGTTGATACAGCACACTAATAATAAAGAATTGAATTGATTTATTGTAATTGGATGCTGAGTGCAGTGGTGATAGCTGTTTGCCTGTCCTTTCACACTCATGCATTCTGCAACTCACAAAATGGATTCAGAGTCAATCAAAGAGAAATATCAACGTGAAATCTACAGAAATAAAAAAAGACAGTAATGTCAGAAATCTCTCATGAAAGTAATCAGTAAAATTTTAAGTATCATTGATGCATATGAGAATGAAAAGTTTGTTACATGCCATCACTTAAATGTTAAAAACAATAAAAATGTGGACAATAGCAGTATCTCATAAAAGCGAAAGTGGTACATCCATCAATGAGATATGCCTTCAATACAAAGTTATTTATAAAGGCATCCTATGTTGAAAACAGCACAGCCAGGATTCTTACAGGTGTAACGAAACACGCTCATGTAAGTTGGTGCTCTTAACTTATTATGCACAACTAAATGAATTTTTAATGTGAAGTCACAATCATGAAGCATAATTCCTGAATCATGTAAGCAGACTCCTGTTTGATGTACAATACTTCAGTTATAAAATGTATGCTGCCAAAAAAAACATGTCAAGAGGCTGAACATATTCTGTTGTTCACTTGGGAAAGAGCAATACATACACATTTTTACCTAACAGAGAAAGTTTTACTTTTTCCAGATCTCTGTGACTAACCTGTGAATAAATTATAAGAATGATTTTTCATTGATTTACTCCAAATCAGGTTCATAAAACTGTCATAAGTAGTTGTTGATACTTCCATTGCTTACACACGTTTTGACAAAATTATTGCTCAAGTCAAAATATGCATCATCTGACCAGTGTTTTCCTTCTAAGTCTTTCCAAATTTACTTTCTAGTTCTTGGAACTTGACTTCATGTGCCAATAAAATTATTGGGATCATCTGTGCGGGTTCTATCGTAACAGATCTGCAATTGATCAAATTTTCTACATTCCCAAATACTAGAGTACAAGTGGGAGTACAATGAGACCGTACATCAACTACAATTACTACGGTAACCAGTTAACGCGGCTGATTGCCCGAGAAGATTGTATTGAGAGTACATCAACTGTTTATAGAATTTAAGAAAGCCTATAACTCAGTTGGAAGAGAAGCCCTTTACAATATTTTTATCGAATTTGGTGTTCTTAAGAATCTAGTCAGGCTAACTAAAACGTGTCTAAGTGAAACCTCTAGCAAAATTCGTGTACTTAAACATTTGTCCGATTTGTTTCCTATTCAGAATGGCCTGAAAGACGGAGATCCTCTATCGCCGCTGCTGCTTTTCAATTTTGCCTTAGAATATGCCATAAGGAGAGCCCAAGAAAATCAAGATGGTCTGGAACGGGACACATCACAAAACACACATTTTTTGGTTTATGCTGATGATATTAAACTGTTGCACGATAATATGAATCCTATAAAAGCGAAAACAAAAACACTCTTAATAGCTAGTAGGGATGTTGCTCTAGGAATAAGTGCTAAAAAAGGACAAAATATTTTATATGTCTCGGCATAATAATTCAGGACAGAACCAGGATACAAGGATAGCTAGTAAATCCTTCGAAAATGTGATAAAATTTAAGTACTTTGGGACGACACTAATAAGTCAGAATGACATTCATGGCTAAGTCAGGAGCAAATTGAATTTAGGGATTACTCGCTAACATTCAGTTCAATATCATTTGTCTAATGATTATGATATGCAAACGTGTAAATACGGGATGTCTCAGGAGGAAGGGTCAATATTATGGGAGGTCATAGTATCGGTCATTCTAAACAAAAAAGTGTACTTGTGTCCTATTCCGAACGGTTTCCGAGATAGAGCTATTTCACTGTACAGTTGCAAAATTGTTGATGAGAAAGAGATATTACGTACTGTTTCTGATACCTGAATTTATTGTTCAACTGAAAAAGTTGGTGAAGTTTACCTAGTATAATACATTTTCGAAAATTACACCGTCAACATCAATGCACTTTGCAACTCGTGTGAGGACATGGCGTGTTGCTCGTCTGAGTGCATCTTGACTTTCCTTTATGCGGGCGATGACATCCATTATGTGATCGAGCAATTCGACTGGTGTATCCACTTTTCTTCTGTACACTTCACTCTTCATCCAACCCCAGAAACAAAAATCTAATGGGGTTAGGTCTGGAGATCTAGGTAGCCAGTTAATGGTGCTACCACGACCGATCCACCGATTAGGGAAAGTTTCATTGAGATGTTGCATCACAAGTCGGGTATAATGAGAAGGGGCTCCGTCATGCTGAAAATACATAGCATTCCGTGTAGCCAAAGGAACATCCTCTAGTTGTTCTGGTAATCCACTTTGCAGAAAGTGTAGGTAATTTTGTCCTGTCATACGATCGTCGAACATAACGGGACCAATCAACGTGGCATCGATCATACCGCACCACACACACTAATAGAGAAACGACGTTCAAAATTTGTTTCTACAGTGCCATGTGAATTGTCGTGAGACCATCAATGAGAGTTTCGTGTGTTGTTGATTCCGTTACAGGCGATAGTAGCCACATCAATGAATAGTATTAATGGAAGCAATTGGCGATTAGTATGTAACCAATGACAAAATTATCTCGGAAACTGTTCGGAATAGGATACATGTATATATACACATTTTTGATGTAAATACGTCTATATTGTAGGGTCAGTGTTATTCGGCAAAAAGTGGAACGAAAAAGTGTGACTTCATTGTTATGTTACCTAGGAAACGTCATCTGTTTACTCGGCATTATTGTGTTACATCATTGCCGTCAATAATCCGCTTTCGTTATTACGTACGAAACGTCATCTGTATAAAGGAAATATTTAGATTAATGCCAATATATAAACTTCCTTTCCGTAAAGACGTATTTACGTCAAATTCTCCGGAACCGTGGTCCCACTGTCACTTTTTCCTTAGAATGACCGATACTGTGACCTCCCAGAATATCGACCCTTCCTCCTGGGACACTCTGTAGGGGAGACCCGGGCAGAAAGGGGAACTTAATTTTTGGAGGCATGTGGAAGGGACAATAATAAAGATAAACGCATGGAGGAACTTTGTGTGGATTTATTGTCTATTTGAAATTTAAAATGAGTTATTAGTTTAGTTCTACGAATTACAGTTTTTTAAAAATATTAATTTCTTTACAAGAATGTACCTTGCCTCATTTTGCCCCGTGCCCGGGAAAGAAGGATTATGGTTGATACATGTTTGAAAAAGTTGTAAGAAGACACAGATTATCTAATAATTATGACGTAGGATATAAAAATGATAAAGTATACAATGTAAAATGTCGAAACTTTACATATTTGAAATCTACTTAGGCCTAACACAGACAGCACACATGTGCATCTCTTCATCATCGTGACTACCAACAACTGCACATGAGTTATGGGCCATTTCAAGCAAGATGAACACCGGATTCACCCTTCAATAGAGTACGAATAGACATCGCCACAATACAGGCACTTGTAATTTGACCCCCTTCCCTGGGTACACCATTCTGCCCCGAGTATGCCTCTTTCAAATTAGGATTGTCCTACCAAAAATGACATAATGATAATAAATAAAAATATTGTGTTTAAGACTTTGAAGATAACACCTTGTAACATGCATCATTCAACAAAGTGGATATGAATAATGAATAGGTTTAGCCCTCACTGGAAATTGAGAAAAAATTGTAAAATGTAAGAGCAAAATCCAGCATGAGTGAATATTTCAGAAACTATAACACAAAAAGGCGCTGACTGATATGACATGACCCTGTGCTGTATGCTAATAATATTTCATCAGGTACCGATATATTGCAACGCATTGCAGACTAAAGCCGATATCCTGTTCTGCCTCGTGGCCCCGTTCTGCACTGGACTCCCCTATATACTTTCTGGCCAAATTTTTCTGCCATAGAAATATCGCTACTGATGGTATGTGATTGCGTCAAACACCTGGACGTATGAACAACAGTGAAGATTTTCTCTTCTCCTTGCAGATTTGATTATATTGCATAGGTATATTTACTCCTGCAAATCCAAATCTAATTATCTTGTGCATTCTTACATAGTAGCCACATTCATGTGGTAATTGAACTTGAAATGTGAAGGACTTATTAAAGAAACTAAGTCCTTCACATTTCTAATCTATAATGGTTATTAAGTTGGTGATTTTTCTCTACAAAATAGTATACACATAATTTAAGTTGATGATAAACGATTCTGAAACTTCAAAATCATTTGAAATTAATACTTTAGCACTTTTAATGCCCAGGCTTGTAAATTCAGTCTTATAGGTAGAATGGATCATGTCTCATCAAACTTTTGAAATATATACTAATTTTCTGCAATTTATCCGAGTAACTCCCACTGAAAAGTTTTTCTCCTCTTGTTGTATTTTGTTTCTTCCTTTCTATATACCTTAGAGGAGTCCAGACATCTTTATTATCATGCAACAACATCCATCTGTTTCAAATCTTGTGAAATTATTTTCCATATAATGCGCTTCGTAGATTTTTCACATTATTCAAGACAAGATCACTTCTGGTATTTTCTCTGGCAAAACTTCATACTCATTTGTGCTACTGAATACTCTTGTCTTGATTCTACATTACATTTACTGTTGTCTTCACTGTGTGCATTACATAATACATCACAGGCTGTTAGTCAGTTCACAGTCACACTTGTGTATTCCGCTATGAAACCCTGACACTTCTGTTAGATCATCTCCATTAGATACTTCACAAATTACCTTCCTTCCATCCTGATGTTTTCTTTTAATATTCCTTTAGATGAGATCCAACATGCGGTTAGTATTTGCTACACAGCTCATTTGCAGGTAGAAGATACAAGAAGAGCAAGATCCTGCACTATGTGTGGTTTCAAGAACATTTGTCATTACAAGATACCACTAACAATAACATATAGAATGTGAGAGACCTGTGAACAGCCAATGTCTTTGCATAAGGCATACATTATCGCCCATGCTCAGGTCTCCATTCCTCTAGTCATGCATCAGTATCTACTCATGGTGCACCCTCTGGGTTTGCTGTATAGGGCATGAATATAAGCCGTCAGGCAAATAGTTATTACCACTGCACACAGTGACCTACAATTTGTCAAACACAAACTTCCATGACCAATGATACCACTATTGTGAGTTAAAAATCACAGAAATTAGGACATAAGTAATTTATTTTGAAGTTTTATTATTCTATGGTAAAGAAATTATACCAGAAATAATATCAAATGAAGCTGACAAATGACGAATTCAAGTTATTCAACACATGATCATACACTAACAACCATGTTGAAATTTGTAATGAATGAAATGGTTCTGTATGTCTCAAAATTTTATTGAAAATCTCTTAGAACTATAAAACTGGTGGAGAAATTTAAATTATTTACATGCAATTTTAAGAACTGCATTCATGACATACATGTAGCCCTCGATTTACGCCGGGGATGTGTTCTTGGACGAAGCGGCGTAAATTGAAACTCCTTCATAATGTAAATCAATGGGAATTCAATGACGTACGTTCCCAGCACCAAAACATTGACGAGTAATATAATGGTCTTACATTTACAGCTCTTAAATAACGTAAATAAAATAAAGGGAATTTAAAAAATGTATTTTATACACTTACAATCGGCAATGGCGTGATAAAGCGGCGTTAGTTCTCTGACTAATTCCCTGGTTGAGGATGGTCATATATTTTAAAGAAGGCATGTAGTGTGCACTGTCTTGATTTCTTCTTTCTTTATTTCAAAATTTCACAATAAGGCCTCATGGATGCCATAACGCTCCTCTTCGCTGTAGCACAAGAGCAAACTCTCATATGCAAAATTTTGCATTTCACAAACAGCTTTTACCGATTCATCGATCTCAATGGAGCAAATTCGCGTTAACGAAACATACGTAATTGCAGAGATGACTGATTTTATAATTTTTATTCTAAATCAGCGATGTAAGAATTAAGATTTAGTATAAGAATCAGTACGAGATACATTGTAAAACATTATTTTTGACTTTCTGATTTAAAAATCGGCGTTATTCTGAATCGGGCAAATTGGACCGGCGCAAATCGAGGGCTGCCTGTATATTCTTACTTAATGCCAATTCTATTTGAATAGTTTATGCAAGACTACCAGGCTATTTTGTAAAGGTATAATAAAAATAAGTCTTTCTGAGTCCAAGAGAAAAAACAGAAAGCAGCTGCATGACTGTCAATATGTTTAAAGCAAAGACAACTAAACTGATCCAGAGTAAACCCTATCCAATTAGTACAGTCATGGAGAAAGGAAAATAATTAAAAGTCATTCAAAAACCTGATTTTACAAAGCTCAAGACAAAAGAAACATTAGTTTGGACACCATGGACGAATTAATGGTTGCTCAGAGTGATACTGGTGGGTGCTGAGGTAGTAAAACCAACTACTGCAGTGCCAGTTGGGAGGGAAAATTGTTGGTCTAATGCTGGCACTTGAATGGTGGTTAGGGGATTAAAGACATGGAGGGCATCATAAACTGATTATAAAACTGATTAATTTGTTTATAACTCACTCAACAACACTGGTTTTTTGAAACTGTCAACACGCTAAATAATCATAATGAATACTTAGAAATGTAATCTTAACATTAATTTTTGTACATGTATATCCCACACCAGATGAAATATTTATTACTATGTATGGCATGTTAAGTGTGGTGGTTGTGGTTAATTTTGCAGTAGATATTTGTTGTACCTAACCTCTATTTCTGCAGCAATCCAAGAACGCCCATCATTTTTAACATTTGCTGTCTTCAGAATAAATTCCATCATTTTTAACTTTGTTAGAGAAGCAGCTACTTCTTCCTTATCAGATGTTACAACCACAAAGTATGAGCTATAGAAGAAAAATAAAATACAGTGCATAAGCAACAAAATTAACTTCTTTTAGAACAAAGTCACATATTCAGACAACCCTCAAAAATTAGCAAGAAAATCTGAGGAACTTTATTGACTTGAAGATTTTCAGACATTTTATAAAAAAAATAGAAATCTCCTTTTTCTATATCAATTTTACTCAGAAAGTGTCAAATTTAATACATGTATCCCTCATGTTTTCTAAATTTGGCTGTCATACAATACTAGATTTAACCACTTATGTGTAATAAGAAATTTAAATATAATCTGGAAAACTTGCAGAATGAGTGCTATTTAAGTAGACTGATATGTGGGACAGTTGGTTGAATTTCTATGGATGAATATTATAATACTTCGAAATTTTGGATTGATCATCTCTTGGTGTTTTTCTAACCCAGAGAGTATTAGATCTCAACAGTGCAGGTTAGAAATGGGATTGTTAATTGTCATGGGCATTGTTCACCTTAACAATCAAGAAAACAGAATTAATTGCATACTGAATATGACTGACACAATAAGGAAAGAATGCACTTCAGTATACATTGAGAAACAGACAGGATATTCAAATTCAGCAGAAGAATGAGTCAAATCAATTGCAAGACTCTCTTATTAATGTTTGTAGTGTAGCATCCAGGGGTGTTAAGTTGATTTTTAACGATAATTATTCACAGTCACGTTTTCATACTCAATGTTCATTAATGGAAGTTTGCAGTCATTGCACTGGAACTGTATCAATTATTTTGCTGTTTCATAAATTGGTTTGTTATGATAAATATTAAATTCATTGGCATGAATTTGTTTACTTTCTAAGACATAATATTTTTTCAGAAATTTCCATTTTATCTCTTTTTTAAGTCTCATTTTCCATGTAACCTATTCTGATGTATTCTCCCTTTTATCGTCAAGTCCTCACAGGTATAAGAAGAATCACGGAACCAGTGATAGAACATGAAAGGTCAGCAGAAGTCATTAATTGATCTTAGTGTTGTTTCTTCAGAAACTAAGGGATTCCTTGTCATATCTCAACAGCATAAATAATGAATTTAAATTTTCATCCTAAATATTTGCCACTATTTGTATGTCCTGATGATTAGAGCACATATATTATTCAAAATGTTGATACAATCTATGGAATAATTTTACAGTAGCCCAAGATACAGGGTATTTGCACAAGATAAATCAGTTCAATGACACTACACAGACCACTAGGTTACTGTTCTAACATTGTTTACATATACACACACAAGGGTCAAGAAGCCTTTACAGAAAATTGTGAACAAGTGTCTCTGTTTGTGAATATTTTTAGCAAGTACAAATGTTGAAAAATATATCATTGCTAACATTGTAAGCAGCTGAGTCATTTGCCTATTTTTATAACAGACTATGTAAAATGAATAAACTCAAAACCAAGAATGGATTATAATATAACATTATATGTTATAACTTTAATAATAAGGAGGAGCAGAGGACAATGATGACCTCCATTCACCACCACCAACAACAACAAAAACAACGACAAGGTTATGTCCATGATAGAGTAAAAACAAAGAATGAAATGCCCTGTAGCTTTCTAGATTGAACCATCTTGTCTAATTCTCCAATTCATCACATACCAATAATGTAAAACACAAAGTACTTACACATTTAAGACAGAATTGGAGTACATTTCTGTCTGCATGTTTCAGCATTTACACATCCCTTTCCATTAGAACACTTCTCACCTGTTCTTAGCAAGAAAAGAATCTGCAGGTGGAATTATAACCTGAAGTATGGTACTGGCTATATAATCATCCACCAGTTTAAGTTGTGAACCAATGTCAGGTACAATCAGTGATGTTTTAACAGAATTTAAAACAGCAGGTTCACCAGGTTCGACAGTCATCCCACGAACAGACACATTGTATTCTGACGATGGCTCCAAATCTTTCACCTGTAATGATAAATAATCTGTGGATGTTATCTGGAAGTTACAAGATGAGGCTTAAATCCAAAAAGAGCCTAAGTACAATCAGGGGCTTATAACAACCAGTTCACATGGCACAACCTACGCCTAGGGAGCCCCTAAGCAGAGTGCTTTAAAGGCCCAGGTCTAAAGACAGTACACTAATTAAAGAGGTTAAAGTCCTTCAAAGACCCAGCAACTCTATGAGACCTTGATTATGGCCACTAATTAAAGAGCTCTTTAATACAGAGCTTCTATTGAAATCCTGCTATTAAGTGCATGAGGATCCACAAAAAATCAAGAAGTGTTTGCAGTGCAGGGTCAGCTAGGTATCCACCCATTTACAATCCAATCTAAATATGCTTTCAAGGTTTGACCATTTTCATGTTATACACAAGAACACATCGGTTAGTTTCATTGGTCCTTCTGGTCTGAATTTATTTAATGTTAAGATCATGTAGTGAGATGTTTCCTGCCATATCCAGCAGTTCTCTCTCTTTGTCATCAGTCTTCCGACTGGTTTGATGCGGTTCTCCATTTTCGTCTATCTTGCACCAGTCTCTTCATTTCCACATATTTTTACAGTTCACATCCTGAAAAATCTGCATCACATATTTAAATCTTTGTCTTCCCTTACAATTTTTCCCTTCAACTGTTCCTTCCATTACCAAATTAACCAATCGTACGTTTCTCAAAATTTGTCCCACCATCCTATCTCTTCTTCTCGTAAGATTTTTCTATAGACTTCTTCCTTCGCCTATCCTATTTAAAACCTGCTCATTCGTACGTTATCAGTCCACTTAATTTTTAACATCCTTCTATAGCACCACATTTCAAATGCTTCTATCCATCTTCTTTCTGGCTTTCCCACTGTCCATGTTTCGCTTCCAACTTTTGTCTTGTCTTTGTTTATCCTCAAGCCGAATTGCTCACTGAGTAATCTATTCATACCATTCAATAATTTTTCTACATCTTCCTTCCTTTCAGTCAAAAGGGCAATATCATCAGTGAACCTTAACTTTGTTATCCTCTCTCCTTGGACTTCTATTCCTATCCCAAAATTTTATTTCACTTCTTTTATTACTTCCTCAACACACAAGTTAAACAGCAGTGGCGATAGGCAGCATCCTTTTCTTACTCCCTTTTTAATAAATGCCTGTCTTTCTTGATTCTCCACTTTTATTATAGCTATCTGATTCTTAAAATTATTGTAAACAACTCGTCTATCTTTATACTTCAGCTATACCTTCCCCAAGATTTCAAACACCTTATTCCACTTTACGTTGTCAAAAGCCTTATCCAAGTATACAAATGCCATAATTGTATTTTAATTTTTCTTAATTTGTACTTCTATTATTGAACGTAAGATCAAAATTGCTTCTTGAGTAATCATACCTTTTCTAAAACCAAACTGATCCTCATCTAATGCCTCCTCAACTTTCCTTTCTTTTCTTCTATTATTCTAGTTAATAATTTCGATGCATGAGATATCAAACTGATTGTGCGGTAGTTCTCACTTTCTTGGGAAGTGCGAAGATAATGCTCTTTTGAAAATCTGATGGTATTTCTCCAGACTCATAGATTTTGGACACCAGATTGAATAACCTTCTAGTTCCTACATCCCCCATAGATTGCAATAACTGAAAGTATTTCATCTACTCCCACTGTCTTGTTTGAGGTTAAGTCATTCAGAGCTCTGTCAAATTCAGATCATGGTACTGGATCTCCTATTTCTTCCATATCAACATCTTTCACTTCCTCAATCACAATATTAGACAATGTTTCCCACTGACACAGGCCTTCAATGTATTCTTTCCATCTATCTGTTCTTTCTTCTGTGCTTAACAGTGATTTTCCATCCACACTTCTAATGTTAACACACTTACTTTTCATTTCTCCAAAATTCTGTTTGATCTTCCTGTATACTACATCAAATTTACCTAAAAACATTTCTTTTTCAACTTTTTACACTTCTCTCTCAACCATTTTTCTTTCCTGCAGTTATAACTTTATATATCTGACTTTGAACAATACAAATTACAGTCAAACCCCAAAACAGCACCTCTCTATCTACTGTTGTCGCACTGCATCCATAAAAGCCTTCAAAACGAAACTCCTGTGTAATTTCAAAGGGAATGCCCCAGTAAAGTTTCAAAACCACTAGACACCATCTACCAAACTTTGAGGCAGTTCAATATACCATTATGCATTACAATCATGTCCAAGAGGAGGATATTTGGGCTTATGAGAGAAGTGTATTGGGGTGTGGAGAAAGCTTAAAAATTTTACTCCTCCCCCACTATTGGCAGGGTGATTAAGTCAAGAAGAATGAGATGGGTGGGACATGTGGGGTGCATGGATGCAGCAAGAGGTGTGCACCGGGTATTAGTCAGGATGCCTGAGGGGAAAAGACTGCTGGGGAATAGACTGCTGACGAGACCTAGAATTAGATGGGAGGATAATCTCAGGTGTGATCTCTGGGAAACAGGAGTAGGAGACTGGATTTTGTTGGCCCTGGACAAAGTCCAGTGGAAGCTTTGGTTAGGTCGTTGATGAACCTTTAGGTTCCATTAGCCATCAAGATAGTTATCATGTCCAATATAGTGTCATGCTATTTTGATTCCAACAGCTATGTTAAAAGCTATGTTAAAAGCTCCCTGAAACATTCAGCTACACAGATATCATGTACCGGTAGATTTACATTAACAAATAAAACCCACTCAGATAAAAATGCACCTACAGTGCCTTACAAAGAGATTTGGTTTGTAACTTGAGGTCAGAAATGTAAATAATGACATTCAAATCCCCAGGAAATTACAATAAATATACTTGCTACTGGGAGAGGTTTTGATTACCAAATGGAAATATTATCCAGAATAAGGTATATACAGTAGACATATCCAAGAATCCTGGTAGAACAGTTATAAAATCACTGCTTTCTTTCATTGAACTTTTCAAGAATGAAAATGTTTTGCACACGCTCTGAATATGTAATACAAAGCAGGAAAACACACAGTAGTTTGAAATGAGTTACTGAGATTATCAAAGTAAGGATGTCAAATGCTACACAGACATGGTACAGTTTAATTCACAATCTGTTGTGATCGACTGATAGGTGAAAAAGGGCAGTTTAAGTGTTGAAAAAAAGGAAAGGGAAAGTTTGCATTCAAAGAACAACATCCTGGTGCAAACCAGGAAAATATTGCCAAATATTTCTTCATTTTATGGGATAAAACCATCAATCACCATTCTGTTGGAGATGTTCTAAGTGAACAAAATTTAAAATTTATGCCACCCCTGCTTAAATCCAATATTGGTATGGACAAATTGTGGCACATTAATGGCATTGAATTGTATGTGTTACTATAGGGATAAGAAAACAAAAAAATATGTCTTCAAGTCAACATAGAGAGAACTAAAAGGCCTATAAATAAAAGTTATATTAAGATCATTTAACAATTACATTCTACTCCAATAAAGAAGTAGCTGCAAGATTGTGTTGAAATAAAAAGTTGTGAGGGAAATAATATCATGTGGTAGAATAATAATCCTGTGTTGCAAACAGAAAGCATACCAAGGAACATAGAATATTGCAAGAAGTGCAAATTTGAAAATTAACTTACTTCATATGAATAATTCATGGAAAGTGTTACTTTAATCTCTTCTTCAAGAAGTTTCCTGCTTCTGTCCTGTCTTCTTAGCTCTGATGAAAGTAATTTTACACATATGATAAACTTCCTCAGTAAGCCATTAGTAACTCTGGGACGTTGCCATGTTAACCAAATGGCATGAGGAGTCCGTTTTATAACCTGCAAGTGTTCTGGACGTTCTGGAGCTGTAAAAAAACAGTCCTTATAGATCTACTGCTTCATGTGTTGTTCGATTACCATATATAGATTCATAATACAGTCAAGAATTACAGTTCCCGAAGACATTCTGTCAACAAATGTTAACAATAAAATATATCTTTCCTTTGTTTACTAATTTAGAATATTCAAATACTATCCAAAAACTTCATAAAATACATGTTATTATTCTATGAAAAAAATATTATTAAATTTATATATTTCTGTATCAATAAGTATAAGAAGAAAAATATACTCAAGCATTTTTTTGCATTTATAGTATTTACATTACAAGTTTTCTAAAGCAATTTCCTAAAGTAATAATTTCCATATTCATGAACAAATATACCACATTCACATTCTCACTGTATGCATTTAATGAGAGTCAATTCTTCATTGACTGGTTTATCCCTGTTATTTTCTTTTATTGCTCTCTAGGTCTTTTTTCTTATGTTATTACACATTAGGTCAATTTTTAGTGACTTATGGAAATGGCTAAAAAATCAACTACTTAACTAATTTCATTGAGCAGAATCCTTAGTAAGAAATTAATAGTATGTTCAGTGAGGAAAGAAATTCACTACATTCAAAGGAGCTGCTGATTCAGCATTCAAAAGAGCCCACTACCATTCCCTATTCTGAGCCAGACTAATTCAATCCCCACCACCAAACTCTACTTCTCCAATATCAGTTTTAGGATTATTCTCACATCTATATGTAGGTCATTTGAGAGGACTCTTCCATTCAGGGATTCCAACTAAAATTCTATGTCTGTGTTTCATCTTCCTCACATGTATTATGTGTTCTACCCATCCCATTCTCCTTGATTTCTTTGTACTAATAACACTTGGTGAAAAGTATGGAATTTTCTCAACCCTGCTATTAAGGTCCAAATATTCTTGTAAGCACCCTGATTTATACACCCCCAATTTCTGTTCTCCCTTCTCACCCACACAAATAATAGGTGAAATTACACTTTAGTATATTTTAATCATCACTGTGTCATAGTTGATCAGTACATGGTGGGTTCTTAACACAAGCTGGATTATTAAACATTAATGCAGTTGCAATTAAAATACAATTTCAATCAATAATCCTTGTTTACTTTTTGTTCTCTTTCATATGACATAAATATTTTGCCACTTAACCTAAAATAGGTGTCAAATTTGAGTTGTGATATCTTCTTCTATCTCTTGCTGTAGCTTGGGCCATCATGGTATGTTGTACCTTGGACCATGACCCAAGGTACAACACAATGCATTCATATTATTTAAATTTTAAATTGAATCAGTACGTTTAACGAGACAAAAAGTAAATGCAGTGGTCATAGAACGAGCCACACAAGATGTAATCAAGAACAAAACAAAAGTAAGGGCAACAGCACGTGATTTTGGAATTTCAAGTACTACACTAAGCATTTATTTGATAAAGTTTCAAGCCCAAGAAAACTCTTTTAATTTTGAGTACACAGCCAGAAATGATGTTAAGAAAGTTTTCAAATGGTGTAGTTAGCAAGAGAGTTGGGAAAACAATGAATCTGTTGGTAATATGTGGCTGAGGGGACTGAGGAAACGTCACAAGTCCTTGACTTTGAGAAAACCTGAGGTTACTAGTCTCACTCAACCTAAAAGATTTAATCGTGAAATTGTAAAGGCATTTTTTGAAAATTTAAATGAACTTATGTCAAAACACAACTTCTCTGCTAATAAGATCTATAATTTAGATGAGACTGGCAATTCTACTGTTCATGTTTCCCCCAAAATTATTTGTGCTTAGGGAATCAAGCAAGTGGGGACTGTGACTTCAGGGGTGAGGGGGCTAAATATTACAATGATTGTTGCTGTAAATGCCATTGGTAATAGCTGTGAAGAAGTGGTTGCTCACTGTTGGCAGCTCTGAAGAGGAGTCTGAAGATGTTACATATGCATAACTCTGTTTGAAAGTGAAATGGCTAATGTTATTAAAGAAAAAGTGGAAGAAAATTTCATATTTGTTGTTGTGACATAAGAATATTCTGTTTTAGTAAAGCTGGCAGGAAAAAGAGCATTACATAGCTGAAGTAATAAATGATTTTCATGGAAATGAATATGAAATCAGATATTACAAGCGAATTCAGAACACCAATAAATTTATCCTTGACAAATAAAATAAATATTTTAGAATTCCCAGTATTGAAATATTAAGGAAGCTTCCACCCCCTGTACCAGCAGGATCTTTGAAACTGCAAGGGTCACAGTTGTGTTTTTCAGTGGATTTTAGTGGATTCAATGTGAATATATTAAAGCAACCTACTTACCCTTACAAAATGTATGTGTTTACATTTAATTTATTGTATTTAATTTGAATATAGCTTGCCTTTCTACAGTAATTTTTTTGTGTAGGTAGATTATTAAATTAATGTTATTAGTTGATTATTAATTACATACACTGTTCTTTTATTATTGTATGTATTCCTGATGATGTAACTTGCTGCCATTTATTAATGGAAGACAATCAAAATGTGAAAATTAAATTTACTCATTAGTTTAACGTTCTGTAGAATTCCGTCCTAAGGTACAATACGGGGTGGTAAAAATGTGGTTGTACCTTGGGTCACTTTACCTTTTGCTTTTAAATGGTATTGGTAAACTTATAAGTAAAGAAATGTTAAAGTAAGAAATATGTTTCATTTACCAAATATATGTGTAATAGTGTGTAGCATTCAAAAATTTGATACAAATAATCTTGTTCAAACAAAAAAATAATAACCAAAAATTGACTTGAGGTTCAACACTTTTCCCTACCTATAAGTCTGTATTTATTTTTAATTGATTTTAACATTATTTTTACAGTGAATTTCGAAAGACACACACATATTTAAATAGAAATAATAATGGTCCATTCAGGAGTGTCTTGCTATAAAATAATTTTTGTTAGTAATTTTCTTGCACAATTTTGGGTTTCCTCCAAAAAAAAATTGTTGAAGGGTTCAAGCCATATTGTTGCATGCTAATATTTGCCTCCTCTAACTTTGTGGTTCATTTCTTCATAACTTTAGCATTCGTGTGGTCTACTGTTATGGTCACATCCAAGTGACGTAAGTGTCTTAGTTTCCTTGTTCACATATCACAATTTATTACCAATAAATAAATATACATCAGGGTTCTTGAAATGGTCTTATCTGAGTAAAGAAAATGTGGTATCAGGACTGTACCTAGACCAAGATTCAGTAGAGAAGTTTGTAGATGAGGAGTCAACATTTGGAACATCCAACTTTTCTTATTCTAAAGAGATATAATTAGAAAAGCTTGCACATGATGGTACATGATAAACAATAGATTGGTACTAGGATTCACAGTGCTGGGTTGGCTTGTAAAGCAGCTTCTGATTATCAACGATGATTCTTCTGCCATTGAATACTCCTAACTTTATTTAACAGAGTTTGTGTACACATTCTTAGTGAAGGAATAAAATCTGAACTGCCATCAGCATTGCACCCTAGAAGAAACTATCAGTCCTCCTCTGCAGGGTATCATAGGTGAACAGGTAAAAAATTTTCACTTCGCTGGTTCTTTAAATGGGGCAAAATAATGGAATTTCAATGAAGAGATAATGATATATGAGAAACAATACTAGACATCTTTCTTGCTTGAATTATTCAAAACCTACTATTTCATATTTAGCATTGTGTTGATAATACAATTATCCCCACCTCTTCCCCACATTCAGAGAAAAGCAGAATGAGAATCATCTGCAGAAGCTGGGAAGTGCCTGTACTTAAATTCTCAATACGTCGAAGAAGTACATGATACAAGATATTTGATATGATAATCTACAATCTCTGCTAATCTTTGTGGTATACATATGACCTGGGAGATTACACAGAAAAAGTAGCATAAAGATTCCACTGCTAATCTCACACCTTCATAAGATATGGTTATGCAGCTTGAAAGAAGAGTGGAAGATGTTAGTCACAAGTTGTGCATGGATAATTAGGTCATTTCACATATCCTCAAATATCTCCTACAACAGGAAAATTGACACAATACCAAATTTTATCAAAATTGCTACGCCATTTCCCAAGTTATTTCATGGATACTAAAAGACAAGCATGTGGAGAGTGATTTTAAATGACCTTTCACAGAATTGTGTTCCTCATAGGAAACAAATTTATTTCATTACTGACATAGAGAATTATTTTTGTTAGTCATAGGTACAGTAAAACCTTTCTAAGTGGGACATTTTCGGTTCCACAAACATGTGTCCCACTTACAGAGGTGTCCAAGATAGAGGGAATGGGAAAAATCATCCTTTCAGATTGTGGTGTAATGACAATGTAATCTATTTACTTGCATTATCTAACTACTATAGGCTTACTTGAATTAAGAATCGGTGAAAACAACAACAATAATAATAATAATCTTTTAAAACACACTCCCATGCATTGCAAATTACACCCCAGCCTCGATTAAATTGTCAACGTTCAGAATGTGTTTTCTTAATTGTACTTACTGTATTAGATCCAAATTCACTTATTTCATGCCAAAAAGTTCGTCACAAGACACTGCTTTTTTACTTTTAATTCTTGTACGTATTGTACAACCCTCAGATAGGTAGGTGGTTCTTCGTACACACATAACTCATTTTCCTCTGAAGATTTTTCACACACAGCGTCACTTGAGTCATCACTTTGTCTTGCACATTATCGACTGTTCCAGCAACATCGTCGTAAACCTCCTGAATGTTGTGGAACGTTGAAAGAGATTGGGCATCAGAAGTTGGTTGCGATAATCCTCAGGAAGGCAGCGTTTTTCTTCATGCATATTGTCCTCTTCTTTCCTTTCCTCTTCATCCTCTACAGAATCTGCCATAAATCTTGCGTGTCGGAAACACTTTGCAATGGTTTGTGGAGAAAGTTCGGCCAGGCACCATGAATCCACCGAATGGCATCTAAGCCTGTAACGCTTCGCGAAAATTCGGTCGCGTTCTTGCACTTATCTGCAGCATTGATTAGTGAAAACATTAGCTGCTTCATGTATAGCATTTCACAGATTAAATAATGCCCTTGTCTAGTGGTTATTATTCGCTGGTCACATTTGACGGTATAAATTATGTAGTGATATTTGAAAGATTTGAATTAACGTGGCTTGTAGCGTTGTTGACAAACAATTGTATCTTCCGATTATTCGGCTTTATTTTAAGGTTGACCTCGTTCAATCACTCAGAAAATATATTAGATGTGATCCAAGCTTTCTTGTTGTAACGCAAAATTACGGGAAGGTCGTCCAATTTCACATAACTAGTGACTTTAATTTCTCTCCTCGCGAATTGTAGTATAGCAAAAGAGTAACCCGTTCCTTAGACTTCTTCATTCCTTTATATGTCTCTCCCTCTTCTATTAAGGATAGCGTTGGATGTTGATGGTAGAATATTCCACAGTTATTCGCTTTGAAAATGTCCTCTTCTGCGTATCCCAACAAAAGGCTTGAAAGTTTGCGTTTCCAATCTTCAGCAGCTTCAAAACCAGCAGAAGCTGATTCGCCAGAAATGATCTTGAAACTTATGTTGTTTCGTTTACGGAAACGATCCAACCACCCATTGCTCGCAGAGGAATCTTTGATTTGGGGTCTAGTTGCAACTTCTTTAGCCTCCTTCTGTTAAAGTGTGCCGCTAATGGGAATGTTCTTTGCACGACAACACCGAAAAAACTCTAAGACTTTGTCATTTAGTTCGTCATGTGGTGATTTTCGAGGTCTTTTTATGTGTGCACTACAAGTCTTTTCCCACGCGTCGGTAATGGCGGCTCTGTTGCTGTTGGAAACAGTAGATTTGGAGATGCCCTATTCCTGTGCCAGCATTCTGCAACTTTGTTCTTTCTTCAGACGATCCAGTAATTCTTTATTCTCTTCTAAAGCTAATTCCACGAATTCTCCCTTCCCCATCTTAAAAAACAAAATCCCGTTTCTGCTAACACAGTTTGAAACCACAGTGCTCACGGAGTTAATAATGAATTTGCAATATTGTAGTCCAGTAAAGGGTTCAATGTATCCCATATTCAACCATAAACTAGTCCACCAGATAGAAGGCATTCCTCAGTTAGAAATTCAAAACAACAAAATAACTGTAAACTTTTCCCAAAAAAGATTTGAAGCTAAATGCTATAACCTGTCCAACTTACAACAAAAGGTGTGTTCAAATTCCAGGATAAAAGAATGTCCCAGACACGTAAAATTATGACATTCGCCGGTTCCATTTAAAAGTGCCCAATATAGATGTGTATCCAGGATATAGGGATGTCCAACTTGAGGGGTTTTACTGTATATAGGAAGCTGAGGGAAATCGAAAGAAAAATTTGTCAAGCCAGTTTAAACCATTTCCAACTAATTTACTATGTCAGAATTCCCTCAGCTGCTTTTATAATATAAATTTAAATCCTGAAAGAAGGGACTAGTTGTTTTTCACTCATTTTTATGTGTCTGCTTTTACATGAGATTTCAACAAAATGCAAATAAACTGGGACTTATTTTTTACTAATGTGAATGAATTCCTGGATTTCTGTGCTGCAGCATCATGTATATTTGGTTATTCGTATTACTCATTACAGACACAGAATTTTTATTCCCAAAATTCCCAAAATATTTTATAACTTCAACTGTTTTAGAAACTTGAAACAGATTTTTATAAAATGTATTAAGATTGAAATCTTATGATATCCACTGATAGTTTTATGGTAATACTATCATTTTTCACAATCCATCAAGTATTATTGTTTCTTGTCTAAAGATATTCATTATTATACACTTCTGCAGAATGTCTTTACACAGCAGACGCTCATAAACATTCTTTATTTTTCTTTAAATTATTCTTTACAACTAATCCCTTTATTAGACTTTGAATATCTATTTCAATTTAGGATCATAAGTGGGATGTAATCTGAAAAGTCCCGCAGCACGCAATAATAGTAGAATGAAAAAAGTTTCCTGATATTACTGCTAAGCTGGTGATTAGACAATCCACTGAAATAAGCAGTTCAATGCAGACTAAAGCACCAGAATGTTCTAAGAGCTATAATTTTAATTAGATTTTTTGAGTTTAAAAATTGAACCATCGCCACTCAACACAGTGTCAGATAATGGTATTATATCGAGAATAAGAAGTAGTTCCATATCTTACCCTTAAATTGCGTTGCTATATATTGCACAGAAAATTGGGTGACTCAAGAAAGCATACTGAATAATAAGGGTGGACAAAAGAATTTCCTCAAAATCTGTAATAATATTCTTCTTTTAATAAAGGAACATGAATCTAGAACTGTAATGTTTATTGCTTTTACGAAAATACATGTTTTAACTTACCACTTTCAGGGGTTGTTATGTTGCCTACAAGAATTAACATATTCCCATACCGCAGTGTCCATCTATAATCTGTAAATGGTTTCAGGCCAAAAGGAAGCTGAGGGTCAGTGGTGTTACTTCCATTTTCTTTAACATCATAAACATATAAACCTTCATTACAGTGATGAGCAGATAGCTGAAAGTATATAATGCAAGTCAGATTAAAATTAATATATAATGTAATGAAATTGAACTTGTGATGGATGGAGGACTAGACAGGAATGAGCGTTGAGTTATGGGCCAGCACTTTATGATGTTGAACACTTTTCTGTAGCCCAAAACTTGTTCTGTTATCACTCTACAGACCAAGGCAACACTATGTTTTAGCTACCAAAGAAGGTCTGGAATCTTGTTAGATCTAAAGAAAGTGGATGCTGTTTTACATGAGATATACTTTGAATCGGAGAAAGTTTAGGTCTTTATTGATTTTACCAGAGGTTGTTACGTATGATCTTATAATTAAGGGAGCAATATATGGGTTTGATTAGTCCAAATTAGGGTGAAAGAAAGGGTGTATACAGAATAGGAAGCTGATAACTGGTGGAGTAATTTGAAAAAAATAACTATATCAAACTTAGACAAAACACTCCTCTACATACAGAGTGCTTGGAAAGAATTTATATATAAAAAATGCACAAATCTTTTAAACTTCTTGCTTATATTGTGTGAAGGAAGCATTCAGTTAGTGGAATTCCAAGTTATGATAGTCTCTGTAAATGCATTGCATTTGATTGTAAACAATTTCGAGGAATATATTACTTCCATTTTCATGCAGAATTGAGCCTCAGATTTCATATAAATTTAAGAAGACTTTTATTGCTATTCTAAAATTAAAATTTGAATTTAAAACTTCCACTTACCTGCCAACTTATTCGGATGGTATGCTGAAGAAGTTGTGTATTCACTTTATCAGGATCTGTAAGAACATTGTATTAATTGTGCTTAATAAAATTACTTAGAATACTTCCATTTAATCTTTAAAATGACAACTTTGCAAACTTACGGATACAAGATGTGTTGTACACAGCACATGGTATATCAGTGCCATTATAACCTGTTCCTGTCTCATCAATCAGAACAACTCTTACTCCATAGCTTGAACGAACTTCTAAACAAGGTATTTCATGCTGTTTTACTTTGGCACTGTATGCAAATGTACCAAATGTAATCCAACTTCCTCCTTGATTTGCACTTTCAACTTTCTGTGAAGGAGTTCAGAATAAAAAATTAAGTAAGATTTGAAGCTTTAATAGAGAAGAAATGTAATAAATCACACAGTCACATCAAGGTTGAGCAAAAATTTGTTACTAAAATTTAATGTAGTTGATTAGTTGGATTTTACTGCAGATGAAATTTCTGCTCCTATCCTAGATGTTAGTTATTGAAGGTGTTGAAGTTACTTCCAAATTAACAAATGAGAAAATGGAAACCAATTGATGGCACATCATGAAGAAGTGTTAAGGACAATAAATCTCACACAGATTTGTTACAAATACCATTAAGGAAATAGAAAGATTTGATGGTTTTTGGAATATACTAATACTCATGAGCAATATTATGATACATATAAAATAACTATGGTCTTTTGGGAATGAAAGGAAGATACATAACAAAGTAGCATACAGACAGCACAATTACAATAACAGAAAGAGTTGGAAGAACTGATATTGTCAGAACAACTTCGCATTCAAATAAATCAAAACTACTACTAATTTGGCACATACAAATATTGGAATTGAGTAACATTACAATTTAGGGAGCAGTGGCGGCCCGTCCATAAGAGCTGCAGCAGCCCCTATAATTTTTCAAAAATTGAAAAAAATATTTTTTGTGTTTATATAATTTGTAAAACTTTATTTCCGCTGTATCATTATTTTAATAAAGCACGTATCGGGGCTGCAGTCCATGCAGCCGGCTCATAGTACACACGATTGCCCGGTACCACGTGTTTTAGACTGATTCCTGTATCACAATCTGTTTCGTGTTATTGTTAATGAGTGTTCAATAATTCTGTGTGCTGACTATTTGTTGTTCTGATAATGACAATGAGCAAAAGAAGTGTTTCATATTTACAGAATTACTTTTTCCCAATTGTCTCTGAGTGAAAAAGTGATGTAAAAAATCATGGCCGTCCCCTTCCGGACTTACAAACAGTTAAATCATCGTCGAGCAGGAAGTCTGGTTTCCATCAGAAAATACAACCTAAGTAACTGGGTGACATCAAGGCAGTGAAAGAGTTTCAAGAAACATTTTCTATAATTGAAAGGAGATAGCAATTTCTCACAGATTTCGTTTTTGTATAACAGAACATGACTATTGATGGGTTGTATTTTAAATGTTAGACTGTAAAAATGTCATACCTTGACAGTACTAATGATTGTCTTTCAAATGTACCATTTCTACAAATATCATAATTTTACTGGCTAGAATGCATCATGTTCCTCTTAACATTAATAAAAGTAATCTGTTTCCTTCTTGTAAATTCTATTACTTACCACATATTGTAGATGATAGTTAGTAGGGTAAATGTCTCCAGAAAAACTGATGTTATCTACTGAGATAGTTATTGAAGTTAGAGTGTGTGAGATGAAACGTGGTGCTTCATCGAATACTGGATATTCTATGGAATAGAAACAGTATTACCATTATCACAGTTTTATTAACAATGAATGAAATGAATGTATTAAAATGTTTAAAAATCCAAACAAATGGATGCTTTTAAACATTTACAAGAGGAACAGTACCGCACATTCTGCAGTTTGAAAGTATAAGTCTGAAAAATTGTCTATAATTCCTCATTTTCCTGGTATTCTTTCGAAATCTTCTTTTCCATAAATAATGATATTATTATTATTATTATTTAGTGTTCTGTCTGACGACAGGTCCATTGCTCTGCCCAAAAAGAGTTCGCCAGTTTTACCTATTCATAGCTTTTCGTTTTAACTCCTGAAACTTCATCTTCTTTCCTTGTTTGAGACCGTCAGTTAGCTGTATCAGTCTTCTTCCCAGTCCTCGCTTTCCTTCAACCTGGTCTTCGATGATATAACTCAGTAATCCATTCCTTCTCATAATATGTCCCAGTCAGTTAGCTTTCCTTCGTGTAATCGCCTGCAGAATGTTTCTTTGCTCGTTGACTCTCCTCAGTACTTCTTCGTTGGTCACTCGATCCGTCCATCTGATCTTCTCTATTCTTCTCCAACACCACATTTCAAAACTCTGCAGGTATTTCTGATCCTTCTTCCTGAGTGTCCAAGTCTCTGCTCCATACATCGCGACACTCCATACGTAACACTTCACTAGTTTCCATAATGACAATATTTCTCAATTCCTTAATTAACAGCTGTGACAGGTTAAGGTAAGAAATTAAATGTGAACTGTGTAGCCTAATTGCACTTATCACAAGTGCATGCTTATGCAAATATAGGGTAGCCCATTGCAGAACGGGGAACTTAAATTTGTAGGCATGTGGAAGGGACAATAATACAGATAAACACATGGAGTAATGTTGTGTGGATTTATCGTCTATTTGAAATGTATAAGGAGTTATTATTTTAGTTTTAAGAGTTACAGTTTTTTAAATATTAATTTCTTTATGACAGTGTAACATGCCCCATTTTGCCTCGTGCCTGGGGCAAGACGGGGTGTGGTTGATATATGTTTGAAAAGTTATGAGAAGACACAGATTATCTAATAATTATCACGTAGGATATAAAAATAATGTAGTATATAATGTAAAATATCGAAACTTTATACATTTGGAATCTACTTAGGCCTAACACACATATACACCTCTTCATCACTGTGACTACCAACACCTGCACATGAGTTATGGGCCCATTTCAAGCAAGACGAATACCGGATCCACCCTTCACTATACTGCAAATAGATATACTGGCACTCGTCATCTTGATCATCTTCTCTGTTTTTACTCAGCGCAAACCTGGGTACCCCGTTCTGCCCTACCTCTTCCTGCCCCGAGTATACTCTTTCAAATTAGGACTTTTCCACCAAAAATTACATCATGAAAATAAATAAAAATATGGTGTTTAAAGACTTTCAAGAAAACACCTTGTAACATGCATCATTCAACAAAGTGGATATGAGTAATGAATAGGTTTAGCCTTCACTGGAAGTTGAGAAAAAATTGTAAAATGTAGGAGCAAAATCCAGCATCGGTGATTATTTCAGAAACTGTAACCACAAAATGGCACTGACTGATATGACATCACCTTGTGTTGTTTGTTAATGGTATTTCACCTGATCCCGACAGATCGCAACGCATTGCAGACGAAATACAGCCGGTTCCCTGTTTTGCTCGTTGGCCCTGTTTTGCCCTGGGCCTCCTATGGGTGTGTGTGTGAATTTGTGTGTGTTATTGCCACAGAAAATTCAACAATCCAAATCACATTAAGATTAGTTACTAACTACCATGTTACAAAAACTCTTCTTCTTCTTCTTTCTCATCTCCCTTTTTGCCTGTATAGCGTCGGGGTTGATTGATCGGTCCACCTCCTCCATTCCTTCTTATGTCTTGCTAAGAATTTCATCTGCGTTAAATTTTTCCCCTTTGCCTGTCCTATTTCTCTAATAGTATCCAAGTAGCTCTTTCTATGTCTTCCTCTTGTTCTGTTACCCTCAACTCTAGCTTTCAAAATCTATTTCGTCTTTCTTTCATCTGCTATTCGAACAACATGTCCAAATCATTTCAGTTGTTTTTCTTCCAATTTTGTTTTAAGTGATTTAATTCCCACCTCTTCTCTAATTTTGGTGTTCCTTATTCTATTCCTGCGCGTTTTCCCTATTGATTTTCTGAGACATTTCATTTCCATCACTGTCCGCCCCCCGCCGTAAAGCGAAAATCGCCGTAAAGCGGATCTTTGCCTTTTTTCACTTGCAAATGCTTATCAAAGCCTAATAAGATGTTTACACTATCATATAGTAAGTGCACAATAGCGCTAGGCCTAAGAAAACGATATGAAAGTAAAATGAATATTAGTAGTACACACATTGTGGCTCGTTTGATCTTCAATCCACACAACTAAAAGTTTTTCCATGTCGGCAATAAGGCTATCTCTTTTTCTTATGGCTTTAGAGTTCATTCGTGTGGCACTTTTAATTTCATTTAACACTTTCTCCTTAGCGTTCACGATGGCACTAACAGTTTGGCGAGCCAGGCCTAGCTTACGTCCTATCTCAGCCATAGACATGCCTTGTTCACGAAGTTTAATCATCTCTAACTTGGCATTTAAAGTAAGAGGCTTACGACTCCTCTTTTTATCGCTACTACCCTTAGACACCATTGTAATTACACTGTAGTAACACAGAAATATTATATAAATATACAGTTTGTAATAACTGAAAAATTGCCAGAAATACAGAGAGACGGAGCCCACAAAAGCTGTAAACAGACTGAATCAGCGACGAGAAAATGGCGCCGGACGCACTTCTCTGACTCAGCTGTTGAGCGCCGTATTAGCGGATCGCCATAAAGCGGAGCGCCGAAAAGCGGGGCCCTACTGTATTGTTTAATTGGTAATAAGCATTTGCCTTCTATACCCTATTTAGGATCTCATTACCAGTTTTTTCATCTTCAGATAATATGACCCCCAAGTATTCGTAGGTTTCTATTTGTTCCAATTTCTCATTTCCATAGAATATTTCCGTGTCTCTTTCATCCTGTTCTAATACGTGTCTCCCTATTTTCACAACTTTACTTTTAGTATTATTTATTTTTAGGTCTTTTAATTCCATTTTTTTTCTCCATTCAATTATTGCATTTTGTAATTTCACTTGGTTGTCCGCTATTAGCACGATGTCATCTGCATATATTAGTGATTGTGTCAATATACTCCTCATTTTCCAATTACCTACTTTCGTCCTTGCTGTTCTTCTTTTACGTATTTTCAGTATCTCATCCATCACTAGTATAAATAATATAGGGCTAAGGCTATCGCCTTGTTTCCCTCCCTTTTCTATTTAGTAAGGTTTCGATTCCTGTCCTCTTATCCTTACTATTCCCTGGACATTACTAAATGTACTCTTAATTGCTTCGCGCAGTTTGTACGGTACGGATTTTTTCTCCAGTATTTTCCAAATTTCCGATCTTCTTATATTGCCGAATGCAGATTTTAGATCTATGAATGCCAAGTATATTTCTTTTCCTTTTCTATAAATTTATCACATATATTTCATATTGAAAATATATGATCTTGTGTCTGTCTGTTGGGTCTAAAAGCCATTTGCTCTTCTTCCAACTCCTTTTCTGTTACTCTTCTCAATCTGATTTCCAAGATCCTAGTGTATATTTTGAGTATTACCGAGGATAGGCACATTGGTCTATAATTTTCGCATTGACTTGAATTTCCCTTTTCGTATTCTGATCTTTGTTTTTAATGTTTTCAATTTGTTTTCCAAATATGCCTCTCATTCCTTTCACAACCTTCCAGAATCTATGATTATTTTCCGTATAGTTTTCCTCTAACTCATTCCCAAAGTCATCCCATGTTCTTGTTTTAGCTTCTCTTACCATCCTTTTGACTTCATTTCTGTTTTATATATATTGCTGATGGTCATCATCTAATTTTGTATGAATATATTTCTTCCATGCTTGTTTCTTCCTTTTGACACATTCCTTAACTTCTTCCGTCCACCATCTTGTGGGTTTTGTTCCTGTATTTATTTTCTTTTTTCCACATACTTCTTCCGCCACTTGCAGTATACTGTATTCTATCTTCTCCCAGCGTTTTTCTGGTTTCCATTCTTCTTTGTCTTCTAATTATTCTTTAGTTAGTTCATTCATCTTTTCAAACATCTTATTTTTATATTCTTTTTGTTTATTAGTTTTTCGAAGTTCCTCTGTACATATTTTCTCGTATATTTTGCCTCTATATTTCCTTGAAGTCTTTGTAACACATGTATCCCCTATAACTAGTCTATGGTCCTTATTTAGTTCTGCACCTCGAATAACCTTTATATCGTTAAATATATATCTTAATTCCTTTCCATATATATAATAGTCTATTATACTTCTAGCTTCTCTCCCTTGACCCTCAAATGTGATTTTGTGTATATTCTTATGGATATAGAAAGTATTCCCAATAATCAAGTTGTTGTGCACACAGAACTCTATAAGTCTTTTTTCAATTTACATTTCTTGACTTTTCTCCATTATATTTGCCTATAGCTCCATGTCCAGTTCTTACAACATTTCCTACCCGGCTATTTAGGTCGCCCATTACCAAAAATTTTCTTCTGCTATCTGCTATATCATTTGCAACTCTTTGGAGATCATTATAGAATTGCTCTTTTTCTATTATATCTGCATCTTCGGTTGGTGCATAAACTTGTACTATAGATATTTGTTCCTGCATTTCTAGACGGAGTACGGTTGATATATATTTGAAAGAGTTGCACGAAGACACAGATTATCTAATGCTTATGACGTAGGTTATAAAAATAATAAAATATACAATATAAAATGTCGAAACTATACACATTTCAAATCTATTTAGGCCTAATGTAGACTGCACACATGTGCACCTCTTCACAATCGTGACCATCAACACCCGCACATGAGTTACGGGCCCATTTCGAGCAAGATCCACCGTTCAATAGACTGTG